ATTTTATTTCATGAGCCACGGGGCACATTCACAAATCAATTAGTGACATGTACGTTGTATCTCACCCGGAGGATGAGTGAATATTTGCCTGTAACTTCTATACACGCGAATATAGGATATAGATGTCATAGAATTAGTCTCATTAGGTCGATCAATACGATTATCGTATTATAACTTACAGTTATTCAGAACTAACGTGAGAGCCTGAAAATAAAGTTAATATTCATTATATTTACACCAAGACCTATAGGAACACGAGTAATATTTTTATTTTATTGGTGTGATTCCTACAAGAGAAAGAGAGGGTTTCCCTTCGTCACAATATCCAAATTGGTTCTGTGCCCCCCACCCTCTCAGAGCCCTATTAATGGATGGCGGGGGAACTTGACAGGATGTAAAACATCCTAAGTCTGAAACGAATGTGTAGGATTTTGCCTTAATTCCCCCTGCATGCCTTCTTTCCTCGGAGCTTGCGAACAGGGAAAACGTTTCACTTTTTCACGTCCTCTGTTAACATCAGTTCTCGGCATTTGTTTTCTTCTTGTTTATGAATCATTTCAGTTTAAACACTAATTATGTACGACTGATCATATGATTTGAGGTGAGGTTCTCACGATGGAAGACGTAGAAGTTGTTGTTCTGGGTTGTGACGCCGTGTGAAGTTGTAGGCAGACACCATCGTTTCGGAGAAGCATACTATCTTCATCTTCAGGGCTCTATGAACGTTTCGGAGAAACATACTTTCCCCTTCTTCTGGGAACCCTACCTACTAGTCCGCAGCTCGTCATAACCCCAAGAACAAAATCGACATCAATTATGTATTCGAAATCTGCTAATTAACGACGCGCTACGACCAGAAATACAGGCACTGTTTCCAGCGTCACCTGAAATGTGAACGTTCGCTTTAATACACAAAATTAATGCACGCATTGATAAAGTATAACACTTTGCGTCACTTCAAAACGTAGATTAATCTAATATCTTAATTAGTTATTGATTCTTAGGTAAATTAACGACACCTCTTTTAGCGTTGGGGGTTATATGGGGTCGAATGTGGAGTCTGGAACTTTACTAGCAACTTCGATTCGTAAAACACAAGACTTATTTTCTTCAAAAAAGACGCGCTCTGGTAGCATGTTAAGGACTCGCGTTTTCCTTCTATCGCATCTGACATATGAAAAATAAAAAGCAAGTCGCCTCTTATATCATATACTCGGCTTACAAAACTTATAGTCCCGATGTTTGCATATTTTCATGGTAAAAGAGCTGAAATCAAATTAGAAAAACAAATAATACAAATCTTGACAGCGTCACGTTTTCTATCTTCAGACAGAACTAAAGCTTGTCTAGCTCTGAGAATGCATTTCATATAAGACGTGTATAATGGAAGCGTCAGGAAATTCTTATTTTTCAATTTCATCGTCATACTCACTCACTAGTAATATTTAAAAATTTTCTTCCTTACTCTTTCTCCTTGAAAAGAAGTTTCATGTTCCATTACCCGCAAAATACATTTTTAACACATTTAATATTCTCTTTCATTTAGGTGAATTATAACAGTCATTTGTTTGCTTCGTCCACATTCAGATCGGAACTTCGCTTGTAGCGTCTTCTCCAGTTCGTCTTATCATTTATTACTCGCGTCTATTTCCTAATAAATCTTCTAATTTGTTACATCGCCTCGTCAATATTTTCTCCCTCGTATCAGCATCCTTAATGATCCTATTCTTTTCTCTAATTTGTCGTTTCATGGCCACCGTCGGTTATCAAGGTACAGATTCAATTACTTCGTACTTTCTCTTCTATTCTCTTCCATTTAATTCTCACTATTATGTACATTTCAAGAGTTTTTTCATCTTAATTTATCTTTACGTTTTCATGTATAACGAAGGATCTGTTTCGAAGTCATGTCTCTCCGAGACTTATTTCTAAGAAAAAGAACTCAAAAACAACTTTCAACTGGAATGGATAATTACACGGACTCGGCGTTTCGTGTGTAACAAGACTGCTTATCTACATACCAAATTTTGGAGGATCTATAAAAGTTGAGTTGGAAAAGATTTTTAATGGGGTATCTAATCGTTGATGACGTCAACTCATCTTCCGACGTAGCAGTAATAAATTTCTGCCATTCATAAAAAGGTGTCACTGTATACTTATCGTAACCGCTCATTTAAACCAAAATAAGCAATAAGAGAATGCCGTTATCAGACCATCTGTAATAGGAGCGTTCTCAAATGTACGACTCATCGACAGCTGAGTATTTATTTCTTTAATTTTTTACGACAAGACAATTTCACTTACCGTTTATTATCTTTAAATTCAAACCACTTTACATTTTTACAATTAATTACACCAGTAATAGTGTAAATATTAATTACAGTTTCTTAAAGTTCTGATGCCTGGGAGGGGCTCATTAGCTCCCACGCTCAGCCCTCAAACCTCTTCAACAATGAATTTCAACAACACAATAAGCAATGATAATTCCTTAAGTTAAGTAAATAGAGCTCATGTTATGTACATTTTACACTCTTAATTTAACATTAATAATTTTCAACCTTTAACATATAGGTCTGTTAAATACACAGTCTTCAATTTTAAACACCTATAAACAAATAAATATATTCAGAACCACATAAATGTTATATTAATATTATTTATTGAGTGTATAATAGTTTAAAATCCATATAAGAAATACTGAGTAAAATAAAGCCTCGGTGTGGAAAGTAACGATACGATAATTTGTTTAAAAGAGTGCAATCGTCTTACTTCGAAAAACCTTTCATATCCCAATATATTATATTACGCATGCACGTTATCAAAATAATATTTTTGGTGTACTGAATAAATAATTTGATATAGAAAATGGGTGTCTTCTGGGTTGTTGCGCCTTGTCATCTGGAAGCAATTTGCCAGCGTTTTAGAGGTGTCTGCTGCCTCCATCATCAGGGCGGTAAGTGATTAATCGCCCTGATGATGGAGGCAGCAGGAACCTCTGAAATGCCGGTAAACTGCTTTAAGACTACACGGCGCAACAACCCAGAAGACAGCCATCTTCATACTCGCTGCCGTGAGAACCTGAAACCTCAATTTTATTTCGCATTCCTAAGAAGCCGAATTAATACAAAGTTACATATCATTTATCAATTTCCATTTTTTTTATAGTCAAACGTACTTTTAAGCTGATTCATCCAGTATCCAACTGTAACTTTTAATATTAATGTAATTACGCCCACCACTGTACCCTGTCTTTAGGGAGTTAAAATAATTAATATAATCAAAATGTATACCTCTGGGAACCATTTTAAATTTAAAAATCCCCACAGCATAATTAACTATTAAGTTCAGAAATTAACCAGACTAAAAATTGGACGACCAAAGGACACCTGGGATAATAAAATAGGAAGGGGCCTATGGCATTGCTTTAGAATTAACTCTTGCCAAAATGTCAGTCAGATTTGAATGGCAAAATGTAAAGCAATGGATGTATCTTCAGACGAAGTTGCTGTAAAGACAGAGGTTAGTAATCTGTGTGTACACCCATGAAAATTACTAAACTTACGCCAAAACACGGAGAATATTAAGAACTTCAGTTAATTTCTGTAACAGGTACTACTAAAAATTGCAGCTTATATTCTCATGGTTCGTATGTTGCTTGGAGTGCCTCCTACTGACTTTATTTCAGGACAATTAAACCCAGAATAAAGTACGAGCAATTACAATTACACGCATTATATTAATAACAGTAGGTCATACCCTGAAGCAATTATTCTGTGCTCTTGTACTTCAGATTTCGCTCCAACTACTTCGCCGAGGGCAACACAATGAGAAAAAATTGCATAGGCCAAACTATTTCCTACCAGTACTTTAATATAAGAATCTAATCCATGTACATCTGCTTGGTTACTTCACGACCTTGTGTCAACTACGTAGTTCATGAGTCGTGTAATAAGACGATAATTATTGTGCAAGGCGTTTAGAAGAAACTGTGGTGCCCAATAGGAACACACTGTACAGAAAACAATGCACCCATAATTAATACACCAAAATACTATCAATAAACACCTTAAAACTACATGTTATGTAATGTTAACAAGGCATCAGCATAAAAGGAACTTCGAGAATGAAACTGACTTGACCTCTTTCTCACAGTACAATAAATAAACAACAAAGTAAACAAAAAAAGATGAATTCACAAGACTGTTGCTTACGATGGAGTACAATCATATACTTTATTAGTATTCTACTTGTTGTTCATCGTCTTGGAGTTTTTAAAACACGACGTTTCCGAAACTAGATCTATTTCCGTCAATACGTGAGAGAATAGAATGTTCCGACTCCGTTGGACCCCTTGAAAAATAATAGTCTCGATCCATGATTCAAAATTACAACCAAGTTTAAGATGAATTCTTAGTTTGTAAAATAATGCTGTTCCAACTTCAGAGGTCTGGCGTCAAATCTGATGGAAATATGGTTATGAATTATACATTTATTAAGATGTATACGGCTGCATTTACAAGTACCACGCCAATAATTCCAGAAAAACTGAAGAATACATGGAACCCGCCCGCGATTAGAAAATTAAGAGGCGTGAATACACGCCTGTTTCAAATTATTAAACAAGAAAACAGTACCCACTCACATAAAACTGTAAAAAATAACATTCTTTAGATTTTAGCTATTGGAATTCAGTGTCCAACTTCGGCGTTCTGGGGTAAGCCGCGTCGAACGTTGACAATTATCCAACGATTTGGGAAAAAAGTGCAGTTACCATCTTCAGAGTGAATAATATACATTTACCCTGAAGATGGCAGCTGCAACGTTTGCCGAAACGTTGGATAACTCATCCCTGAATTCCGAAGTTGCACTAAACAATATCGTATGCGAAATTTTTCCTTGAAACCCGTATCTACACCTATAACACTGTATTTAGAGGTTATTGCATACAGGTGGTATTCCACACGATTACATTCTCATACACATCAGAGTACAGCACTTACTTGGTTATGTAGGAGACGCCATTCCTCTACACCCACAGCTTTAAATGTTGCACATCATGAGTCTACAGTTCAAGCACCAACACTTAAACCACTAAAAACACTAACTTATCAGTCAATCATTTCTGTTAGTTTTAATGTATTTACGTTTAAACTTACCCAATTTCAAAAACTTTTTTCTCGCAACGCGCAACACAACCTCTAAAACAACGTACGAATTCCTCAATTGTAGATGGCAGCTGCTTACAGAAGAGTATGAGAAATTCATTCTTCAGTGTTTCGTTTCGCAGCGCTATTTTGTTTTACACAACTTGATACATATTAAGAAATTTGTTTTAACAATAGATAATTTGCATTTAAAATGAGTGTTTATTAGTTATGTCCTTTATTTACGATGGTTATCGAAGCTTCTGCTGTCACAGTTGGTGTGGTTTTTGCTTCAGGTGAAGTATCAATCGTCGTGTTATTTACTTTTAATTGCATGATAATATTAATTTATTTAAAATAAGATAATTATACTGATTAATGATAACTGTCTTATGGGGCGTAGCGACGCGTAGTCTGGTTAATACTGATCGGCGTTTCAAAGGAGATTTATTTCTTTATAAAGATTTTGATAACCAAGACTACACGGTGCAACATCCCAAAAAGACAGTCATCATCAGCCTTCATTTACATATCGGTGTTTTATAGCAACTTGGTGTAATATATTTTATTACTTTCTGTGAAATATATTTAAATAAGGATATCAACGAGTTAATGACAGTAAAGTCATTCCGTATTTTAGTACGGAACCTTTGTAGAAAGAGACAGTTAATTCGTTGGGTGTGAACCCAATTTCACAGTGCCGACTGCCACTGTAACCTGATTACAGTAAATTAGCTACATATACCCATCATCTCCATGATGTGACGCATGTGTTGAGCTACATTTACCTCCAGGGTTCCTAATATTCCCAGTGCAGTACCGCGTATGGAAATCATTCAAAATATCTCACGACATCTCGTGGTTAACAGAACACAATAGCTCCTCAGACCAAAATAAATCCCTCTTTTGATTATTTCTCCTCTAGAGTACCCGCTTCGTTTCTCGGCCCTGAGCAAGACTGTCCTCACTTCGTATTTCTCTTCGGCAAAAACAGAAAATATCACCGACAGCGCCTTAAAATAGGGCACGGCGGTTAATTCAATATCATTCCCATTATATAATTTACAGTCATCCTAAAACTTAACTCGCCGGAGCCAAATACGATGCACCGCTTTTTCCCGTTGGTTGTTTTCTTTTAATTAAACCATAAGACAACATGCCTCTCAAGAAATGTAAAGATTAAAGTACAGACCTACCAGAAATTTTAACTATTATTTTGTATGGGTGTAAAAAATTATTCTCACGTTAAAGGAAGAAAGCAAACTGGGGGTGTTTGAAAACAGGGTGCTGAGGGGAATACTTGGACCTAGGAGGGATAATGACAGAATAATGGAAAAGTGCAGAATACGGAGCTCCATGATTTGTAATCGTCACAGAATATTATTAGAATGATCAGATCAGTGAGGCTGGGGTGTTGAACGCATGGAGAAGATGAGAAATGCGTATAGAGTTTCGGTTGAAAATCATGAAGGAATGAGACCACTTGAAAGATCTGGGCCTTGATGCAAGGATAATATTAAAATGGATTTTAAGAAGACGAAGTGTAATAGTTTAGATGGGATTAATCTGGCTGAGTACAGACACTGCTGGCAAACTCTTGTGACGAAGTTTCGGCTTCCATAAAGCGGGGAATTTCTTGGGTAACTGATCAAGAAGGACTATTTTCTATTGAGGTAATTGATTGAGTGTTCAGTTAACAGTGGAACACCATTTTAATAAACTTTGCAATTAAAACTGATGACAAAGAATATTAATTAAAATTTACGGCAGGATTCATTAGACATATGTAGTCTATTACATTTCACGTCTGTGTGCAAACACGTAATTTAAATTTTCGTTTGTAACAAATGCTAAAAGGGAATTGTAAATTGAATAACTAGAGATAAATCTGCTACTCCAGAACATGTATGTAAAATGACAACATTAGTGCTATTAATCAACGATAGGCATTTTGCAACCGAAATTCTGCCACGTGCAAACTTCGTGTTGCGTTACACCTACCTCCTCTATACTGCGGTTTTATGCAAATACATTGTAGCGTAGAGGAAAGAAGATTCGCACAATTTCCGCATTTGTTCACAAGCTGAACTGTTTAGCCTGTGGTAGAAGATCGCTTACAACCGTTGTTAAACTCAAAGTAAGAGAAATTTACCCGCAAGCGAAAAAACTATCTTAACGAGCCAACTTTGTTATTCAGCCATTCCGTACAGTTAAATTTAATTTCAGATCATTTAGCAAGTCTGCATAGAAATGTAATGAACAGCTACAAAAAGTTTTAAGAACATCCAGTTTCTACATAAATTGTAAGTCACCTAATCATTTGTCAGCATTACGTTCGACTTCCAAATATTTAGAGGTCAGACCATTCTATCTGATACAGCTTCTAACACGAGGCAAAGTCTTTTTAAGAGTTTATTTTAGGAAAGTTTAAAAGAAGGAAGCATAGTTTCCACTTAATATGCCAGGAGTAAACTATTCCAAATTATGTTAGCAGAAATAAAATTTGGGAAAATTAAATAAAATAAATAAAAATATGTTTACGTAAAGAATGTAATGTAGCTGTAACTGCAATTAGAGAGCCGAAAACTGTCCACTTACTATCAACAAACAATGCTGCTAACAAAATCATTTCGTCTGTGAAAAATATTTGTTGTGTTGGACGTTTAGCGATATCCTTTAGTTCCTAATTCCGCTAATATTTACGGATGGGAATAAATATGTGTCTGAATTTAAAAGTATTTAATCGGCATGTGCTTGTGAATTTTGAAGCCAATGCATACGCCCACCCAACGAACCGACCAACAGACAATGCACAGATAACACTCAGTTTTTCATTAAGTATTATTTGGCCTTAAAATAAAATGAGCATTTTAACTGCGCCTAGAGATAACCACAATGATAAATCTGATCTTTCACTCATTATTTCACTGGGTAATATTTACTGCGGGAAGGACACATCGTCCGAAAGTAATTCTCTATGCAATAGGACAGAGGTCTATGACAATTAATATTTTTGTGTGGCCCTCGACGAAGTTATGAGTAGCCAATTCGAACAACGATAATGACAAGGTTACCGACGCCTGAAACGTAATGTCTGTAAACTTTATGCATCGTGTATAAAAGTTTAAATTTATTCTCGTTCATATTTCGAAGTGCCTAAGGTAAAATAAGATCACAGCCAGTTTATTTGCGTACCGAAATATGTTTACCTTCATTCTCATTGTGTTAAGGTGATTTGATTTCAAATCTGAACAGACGTGTTCTAAAAGTTAAGCCCTTCGGCAGAAAGAGACCTCCGATAAAGAGCTCTTTAATATGATGAGAAAACTGTTATTGGAATTTTAATGTAATTTGACTGATGTCTGTCTTTCATTTTCAATTCTGCCTTTCTTCCTTCAATTGTCTGTTTAATATTTAAAATATCCATTTAATCAGTATTTTACGTTACTTTTTAAGTTCTCTATATTCTTGCTTTGTTTAACATTTTAATATGTATTTTGTATGTCTACAAAAAAGCACCGTGAAGATAAAACAGGCCCAGAGGGTACAAACTCGATGAGCATTAATCTTGTTCATATCAAAGCTGATAACATTTCCCAAACATCACTAAGTTTGCAAAACACGTACACACGAAACGAATTATATGTAATCATATAAAGATTGATAAATAATTATTTTCGAAAGACGCCGAAGTTGGAAGGTGTCTGACAAGGATGCATTGTAATATGTACAATTATTATTTTGGTTTTTGTATGTTGCCTAAATTATAAAATTATAAAACTTCAAGTTTTGAATGCTGGTGAAATTCTACCTAAACTTTAGATACAATTTAACAAGCAAAGTAGCTCAAGCCCAAAAGACACACAATATGTCCAGAGCATCTGTATCGTGGATATGAAACCAAGAAATAGAAAGCGACTCATCGTGCTGAAGTAACATGCAATATATATGACTGGAAAATTTCACGACGACTAAACTCGGTCTTCTGTCCAAAACTCACGCCGTTTTGGCCGAGAAATTTTATAGAATACGTATATAAACAACTTTGTGTTGTGGTGAATATTTAACAAAAAATAAGTCAAAATAAAGTAACTTATGCAAAGTAAATACATTGCAAAAACATCGGTCACTGTTAAATCAAAATTTAAGTACACGGTTATTTATCTAATTTTGTTGAGTTCGGGTTTAACAGTTGTGGAGATAAAGTCACCGGTTGGCTGGAAAGTCAATTTATAGCTGAAACAATATGTTTGTGCCATCAGCAACTGAATAGGTTACGCGAAATCGGTAGGTAAAATAATTTGTTTCTTCGTAATGTGAAAGGTCTGCATCAGTAGACTATACACGTCGGTCGGTGGCAAAATGTCGTTTATGGTCTACATAGGTTCCATGTATGCTGTTCGCTATTTAATTTAGTTGACGTCACAGAGTTTACCGTGTCGGTGGGTGAGCAGATATGCATCTGCCATAGCAGTTTTATGTCTGCAATAAATGGATTTTTTCGGCCAGTAAAGTATGGAAAATCTCAAAGTACGCATTTGTAAAATATTTGGAGTACACTTTTCCACCTTTTTTTATCGCAAGTTTGACCCAATTTTCCACTCTAATATTTCAATGGACTGCGAGTGTGTGTGTGTGTGTGTGTTTATTGATAATTTTGAAAACAAAATTGAGGCTAAATGGGCCGTAATTAATGTCGTGAATTAGGCTCTGAATGTGTCTGAAAATACATATTCTTATTTGTTTCTTACTCAAAGAAATTTAAGAAATGAGATCCTGAATAAGTTAATGATATGAACAGGAATTTTAACATATTCCGATCAAGTCATATGTTAAACTTTCTTTCTTGAGTTCATTAAAGGCAAATTTGTCCCTGGTGCTTAATTAAGCGCCAATCCTTCAAGATATGCAGAATAACTGAGTTATCGCTCTCACATTCTTAACCGCAGAAATAGATTTATGCGATTTGTCAGCTCCATGAGCCGGGTGTTTTCATTAGGAGACCTCGCCCGTACTAGATTCACAGAAATGACTATGCTTCATAAAGATAAATAGATTTTTTAATAAACAGTTCGATAAGAACTCAATTCTTTTATTTATGACCACACATGACGAAGAGAAATATAAACCGAATATTTAATTTGCTTTCAAAGATGAGGATAAAATAACAAACATGTAATGAACTTCTTTTATACAACGGAGACTATGGCGAACTTTTATAATACTGTAATGTTGTAATGGCGGCTAATTTACTTCCAGGAGTGATCCCTAAGCCGAGTTCTTTTGAAAATGTCACCATCTCTCAGAGAAACAAAAAACCTACAAGCGTCACTCTATTGTGGATGAAACTTCATTCTCCGGGATAATAAGATTTCCACCTTCCTAAGAGTTAATTAGATTTTATTCAAATGAAGTTGTAGAGTCCAGGTTTCTTTCTGTGTGAATGTTATTACGGTGTCCCCTGACTCGGAGAGAATCGGAGTACGCAGTTTGCATACCTCACTGGAGTTCATGTGCATTTGTTCTACTGCTGTCAAAACCAATTAAGTGGAAGGTATTTGACTACAGTTCTTTAAGTCGCATAACAGCAACAGTCCTAGATATTATGTTGTTCGTTTGTTTGCTTTCCACACACAGATTGTGGCACTGATTGTCTGTCTATCTGTTCTTAAGTTCAATTTCCGAAATTTATCGACGTATTTCAATAAAAATAAAGGGGTCCATTGCACATGAAGTTGTTCGGTAATTATATATCTAGTGTTGTGATAGGTATGAAAATGCATTTTAAGTATCTGAATTAATATTATAACGGATAAAATCAAATAGTATATAAAGGGTTTAATCAAACGTAACATATCAATTTTGCTACTGACATTATTTAAAACTACTAGCTAATTTTGTTGAGACGTGTAAAATTAAAATTGTTTCGGATTTTTATTTTGTGGAATGTATTCTCATGCCTCCTAATAATTTAATTTCAGCACTGAACAACTTATTCCATTCTAAAAGAAATTATTTCGGAAAACTATAAATTTAATAAAGCTGGCAACACTTAAGCATTTAAATCTTAACACGGGAAACTTCTTTGAGATATATGAAAAATTGTCTCCAAATTCCAGCCGGGGAAATTGTCCACGACGCCTATTGGACAGGGGGCTGGATAAATAGAGGGAGCAGATTCAAAATTTCATTTACGCTGACAGACACCTAGTTGCCTTATTTCCAACAGTATGTACATACTAAAAGTTCATGCTTACGTCTGCGACAATACATGACTGCCGTGTGTACATGACCAATCATTAGTCATTTCGCTAAAGCACAGACACCTCGCTAGACTCCTTGAGTTTCAGAGAATCCTGATTGGATGTCGTGAGCAGGACCATGCTCTCCGCTGCTGCGGTCTGTTGCACGCCAGAAGGTCCGTAGTTCAGGGGCGCCACGCTGAAGTGGTTCAGCTGCGTTCTTGTCGTCACGTCTTCGGTGGCTACTCCTGAACAGTCAAAAGGAAGTGTTCAGACATTTCTAAATACAATTAACAAAATGTCAGCTTTTTACATAGAAGGAGAGGGGATTGTAAACGAGGTTATGGTGGCGCCTATGTTGGGGGTCTGGCAGTCTGTCTTTGGTAGGAGTCTGGCTTCTGGAATCTGGCTTCGGGTAGTTCAATTTTGTGTTAGTACGTTGACAGGAACCTCGCTTCAGTCGTCGTAAACGTGTTTTCACACTTAATTTTATTTATAAGAGTTTTTATAAATTTTGTAGTTTTAATTCGATTTGCAAATACAACGCTGCAGTAAGTTGTATCAGTGTCCAACAAGAGAAAGTTTCATTCCCGTCATCTTCGACGGGTCGGTCTTGTAAACCAAATAAAGAATCAATGAATCGTGACATGAACCCACCTATGGCAGTGGCCTTGGCACGGTCGTTGGACGAGCGGCGATGAGTAGCACAAGCGCACCTGGCCGGCAGCAGATGTAGGAATTCCCTCCTGATGTTCGAGTTCAGCCATCCGTACACAATTGGATTAGAAACAGCGGACGTCATTGCTATGACATGGCACGCCGCCAGAGCGACGTACAAGCCCCGTGGGGACGCGGGTGCTGTGGGAGTGACCAGCAAGTCCACCAGCACAGAGAACAGACCTACAAATAAAAGATACGCTCTTGTTAGAATTTAGCATGTTGGCGGAAATTTGGGCCGAATGACCCTCGGCAGTGACCGACCGAGTTGTTTATTGTACGCTCTCAAGAATTACTAATTTCCATTACATTTTGGTCCCTGAATAAATCTAAGTTCTTTTCAAGGACTTGTTTACGGAAGAGAAAGCGAAGATGGCAATCATCTTCGGACTCACCGCCGTGGAAACCTCAAGTCATACTGAGTAAAAAGCGTTTCTTTCTGAATTGTTTTCCTCTATTTGTATCACTCCTAATAGTCATTCCCAGATTCTTTTAGTCTGAGGATTATTTAATGTGAATACAGATATCTGAAGCCCCAACCTATAAAATGCCAGTTTAAATACTGCTAAGGACATGTCAGTTCTACTGATAGTAGTAGTAGTAGTAGTAGTAGTAATTGCCATTAGGTATTGTTAGTCTATCTGCGAGTTCTTTCGACAGGATGGTCGGTCACCAGTCCTATAAAATTCGAACATCGGATTTCCCACTTTTAAAGCACGAGTGCTGACCAGTCAACCGTGATATCCGGTAAACTGTACTCGGAAGGAGGACTCTCAAGCACGTCCAGCGGCATCTCAGTTACAATACAGCACGTCACTTCCGCTCCTCCAACTTCTTCAGAATACGGTGATTAATTATGCACTACTGTCTGTCCCGCGTGTTGAAGACACAAAGAGGATTTTCTGAAAATGTCACGTGTCTGTATAGATACACAACATAATAGAATGCATTCGGAACTGTTCTATTTTACTATTCACATGGTTTAGAACCAATATAAAGAGGACATTTTTATGATAGTAATCAGTCTTCACATATGACATATTCCATACAGTGTAGACATTAGTACATAAAATACGTTACATAAAATGTAACAGATATCTGTGTGTACATTATGTGTTATAGAAACGTTTTTAGTGATTAAACGCCGTAAATGTTTATTTCTACACAGCTGTCTTAATAAATCATAGTTTTCATTCTATTTTAAATATAGTTGTTTACGTCTTTTTCGGCTTCTGCGAATAATAAGCTTTGCGCAGTTCCAATTTGGAATTAATTCTGCAACACCGAAGACTTTAAACTTTTGACAGGGATCAGCCTGTCACTAGGTCTGTATCTTCACGGACATTCACCCGCGATCCAAATTTTCAAGCCAACCAAGAATATTATATGTATCGTCGTCTGGTAGAAGTTTTACGACATTTCAAAGGTCCTTCCTGCCTCGATGATGCGATCGATGATGATTATAGTAATGTTTCTTGACGAAAGGTAGGCTATAGACTGTACTTTTTACCCGATATGTGATACACACATAATTGAGTCTAGTGGTTGGTTTAATTACCACAAAGATAAAACCTCAAATGCAGCTTAGTATACCTGGGTTGTAGCGTCGTTTAGCCTACTGGTGTTAAACCAATGTTTCGAAAGAACATTCTACCTCCATAATCTCCCTGAAGATTGAGTTCAAATTGTGGCACTCCTTTCGACATTTACTATGGATTAATATTATGACGGCTAATAAAAAATGCTTATGGTTTTACATTTGTTGATATTATGGCATGATCTTAATTTGTTCGTTTTTATTTTAACTGAAACATTGTTAGCTTTAATAGTATGTCTCGTTCCTTTTTTCTCCACAAAGCACAATTATTCTTGAGAACCTGACAGCATCTGGGTTAGTTAATACATTTTTAGTCCTTTATAGTATATTGAGATTTATTATAATCTTAATACCATAACGCCACTGAAACCTATCCCGATCCAGTTAAATCTAGTCCACATACATGTGCCTCATTCTCAAAGGATCAATTTTAACATTGTCCTTCTATATACGCTAAGACTCCGACAGTGTTCTCTATACGCTGGGAGTATTTCTTAATATAATGGTGACTGAAAGTTTCTTTTCTTCATAGCCGGCCTTCATGTATCTAGAACTAAAAGTGAAATACGCTTTGAGGAAAAATAGCTATTTCTTTCCATTGTTTACTTTTCCTTCAAGAAAACATAAACAAAAGAGATTAGATTCAGACCACAGGATCTGCGCTTTCTATGCTTACAAACACACGAGTGAAGCGGAAGTTACTTCTCCTTTGTGTCCAGGGAATTCAGTTTACTTCCGCTTCTGATCCAAAGCCAATTTATATTCAATGACCCATTTCTGGTTCCCAAAAGCTCGAGTAACTGTGGACTGAGAAATAGAACCTGACGCAATCAAGCTCTAGAAGTCGTTGAGAGTCATTCCAGGAATCCGTCTGTTTCAGATGACGTCAGGTTTTATTGATGTACCAGTAGCAATAACAAGTCCGTAAACGTTAGAGATATATACATAGGCAAAATTTTATCTTACCTCTCTACATTCTGAAATACGCATATTTCGTTACAGCACGAGGCTGTGATCCGTTTAGATGCATTTAAAAATATCCGAACTTAATAATATATTTGTCATACAAGATGTAGCATAACCAACATCCGGCCCGCGGCTAAATCTGTAGTATTTATAAATTTTTAAGCAAGTTTAAAGTTACAGTGTCTTAATGTAAGCGTGTGTGTTGCCTGAAGTCAACAACAAGCTGAATGTTACTAACCTAATGGAAGCCAGCTGACAGCAAAAAGCACTGCGATACCAGTCAGGAGCAGAGTCGTCCTACGATTACGTTCGAGTTCCTTACGCGCCCGACGGGAATCCTTCTGGGTCGATGCGTGGGCGCTCAGATAAGATGCGATTCGGGCGTGTACCTGGAACAAACGACTTCACTCAAATGTACGCCAAAATTACCCCTGAGCTTAAGCACCACTGCAATGCAGGACATGCTCGAAATATTCCTAACATCGGTATGACAATTTTCAACGAGTTCCGCTCCAGATGAGCGCAAAAAAAAATCCCAATTAGATTTCATGAAAAGGACCAGTCATATTGTCTGATTTTGCAGTTTCTCCAGCCTTCCATCAATGTATCCCTCTTGGGTCGAAATATTCTCCCAACCCCCACTTCTTAAACACCCTATATCTTAATAACAGAAACCACGTTTTACGCCCATACAAAGAACAGACAACATTACAGATTTCTCGTATATTTTAAATTTTACGTGTTTACGTGAAAGAAATAAACAAAAAGTAAAATGGAAAAATAGAAATGGTGAAAGGGAGAAGATGAAATAATTCCGCTCCAGATGAGCGCAACAGCTGACAAGAAAGCTGATTAGTACACCAGTTGATCGTAATAAAAAATAAGAGCAGAAGCTTCTAGTACCGAACGTACCGTCGCGACGACTAGTGTCGGTATCACGGACTGCAGTAGCAGGAGGCAGACTGCGTAGAGGAGACGCGCCCGCCGCGACGGCCACCTCTCAATGCACGCCTCATACAGCACAACGCGCTGGAACGTAACCGCCTCCACCACCTGCAACAAGTGCATGTGTTAATTATGACATTCACACAGAATTGTATCTGTAGGACGTGAAGGGAGGATTAAAATTTTCTTAAAGAGAAGCAGGTGTGAGGATGTGGATTGATTTAACAATGATGTATATGAGATATTAAATTCAGGGTAAAAATGCGAATTGATTGTCTGCTGTAAGTATAATCCGGGTCTAAGGATGTCATGATTTTAAACAATTGATTACATATGTAATTACATTAATAAAAAACACAATTCCATTGTCCTGCAATAGACCAAAAATAGATGAAGACCATGGTTCATGAGTTAAGCAACATTTTATAGAATTTATTTGGAATATACGTTTCTTTAAATTTTCAGTTGACCTTTCCATTCTCGCTAACCTATTAAAATACAGTAGTGCCTAGGTTCTATATGCACCATATGTTTAACCTACACTAACTGCATTCTTCTAGAGAATATATTTATGTGCTAAGTACTATTCTCAGAATAAAGAGCGATTTTTTCCTTAAACTTTAGGTGACTTTTCTCTGTTAAACAAAAATATGTTTTGCAACGAAGAAGCTATATTTTCCTTAACTGCGGAACTGATTTCTTAATATTATTTAGATGAAGTTCGGACTTCAGTGGGTTAAATAAGAGAAATGAGCTATCAATAATCCCCGCGTCTTCTACACGCCGACAGAATGTAAATTGAATTCGGCTCTCTTAGAAGAAGCTGAAATAATGAGGAGAACTTTACATCCATCGCCTCAGATCCACTTTCTCTTTCATTATTTCTTGGGGTTTGCTTCGTGTGAGGGAGGATACGAAAGCAAGCAGGATGTACAATTTTTAAGCTTTAAAAGTAATGGATCACTGTGCTAGACGATTTCCAATTATCGTGTCAAAGGAATGAAATTCCGGACGGGATGTCCACCAGTTCTAGACAGGCTACTGAAATTCCTGCAGTCCTCCCGGCTATGCACATCTTTATAAGTTCATCGTACCGAGCGGTAGAAACGGAAAGCAAAAATAAAAGGTATTATAACCCTAGAAAAAGAAGTGAGACGTTAAAAGCTATATATTAATTCATTTAAACTAACCGTCGGGTGGGAATCCTTCGACATGTTACCTAAAATATGTTAGCATTAGTACTGCAGTATCTTACATACTCTTGAAAACATTTTATTTAAAAATTGTACGTTTTATCCTGTTTGTTTCTCGTTGTCTGGGACGTCCCGCAGAATCCGTCCAAAGCCGAGGCCATGTATTAGATTTCGCAATGTTATTTTTTAGTGACAGGAGTTTACACAGACCACCCGAATCCTCAAGCTTGAATACAACGCCTTATAGCATGTACGTGACTGCTTGAGAGACCTATTCTGGCACAGGGTAGGTCAGAAGTGTAATTTTTTACTGAAAAAATTTTATGCCAACAAAATAATATTATTAAGCACCACTTTTATATAAATACTTTTTACTCTTGTATGGCTGAATTAATAAAATGTTTTGTTGCGTTGTAATAAATTTAGTGGCTTAGCACGCATTGACTTCTGAACAGTCCACACATTTCGACGGCAGGTACTGTGAGATTTCAATCTATCACGGCGACATGTATGAAGATGTCTGTCTTCTTTTATGTTGCGCCGTCAGGTCTAGTAACAATTAACCAACGTTTCAGACATGTTTACTGCTTCCATCATCACGGCAACGATTATCGCTAATCCTTATAACTACACTAGATCATCTGAGTCAGCTACTCACTCTATCTGAAGATGGAGGAAGGAATAATCTCTAGAATGCCATGTAGCCTAATATTATATTTCGTCCAGATACTGTAGAAAGTACAAACACGATTTTTCCACGACGACAAAATTAGAACCATAATTCAGGTAACCAAATGTTTGTAATTTGTGGTAATTCCGTTAACTAAACCTCAGGCATAATCTATAGGTGGGGGGGGGGGCAAAATCTATTAAAATATATTAATGCGTCTGTAAAGCAATCAGCTCGATTGAAGGTTGTAAATATTTAAGAGGGTCTTTCAACACTCCCTGTGTCTCTCGATGCTTAGCATATTTCGGCGGTGCCTCTCAGTTGTAAGTGTATGCGTTTAAGCGGCTCATTTACCTTCTTCTACATGTTCCTACATCAAAGTAACTGTTAAGTCTCTAACATTTATAACCAGATTATGCGTCAGAATTTACGAGTTCTGGAGAGTACTGTTTGGTTGATCGTGTAAGAGAGTAGGACGGAAATATAATCTACGTTTTAAATTAAAGTTTTCGGGGGACAAGGACGTAACAACTTTGGCACTCAAAAGGAGGAATGATGCCGGTTTACGACTTCGGGATTTTATGTCCGTGGAGTGAAATGTATACACAGGGAGCTAAGAAACAGACGTATGTTAAGAGTTGCAACAAGTTTGTACCTAAATTTCGTAGGGAACAATTACAAAGTAAGGAGAACAAGGTCAGAAAATTGAATTATGCCAAGTACTAAAAAGTGTCCCACAACTGCAAAATATCTTATATTTTATTAGAAGTACTGGTAAAAAATTTAAAATGGAATAAAACATAATATACACAGCTTCCATTCTCACAAACTTGCTTAAAACTGTTCTATTATTAACCTCACACCTCCCCTTTTTATTCTAAGTGACCGATTTTGACGATATTTGGGCAGCACAATACAACCATTGTTTCCAGGTTTAACTATCAAAGCATTAGTACGTAAGAATAAAAAAATATTTTTCTTGTTTTAGAGAGAATTAAAAAAAATTGCTCTGAACATTAAAATAAACCACACAATGAGCTTTAGAGAGAATTAAAAAAAATTGCTCTCAACATTAAAATGAACCACACAATGAGTAAAGCCTTCGATTTGGCTCCGGAATTCTTTTTTGTATTTTCTGCGATTTACTGAATTATTGCATTATTACAACGCGTAAAGTATTTTTCTCCCGTAATCAAAACACTAAACCTCCTGTTAATTCTAAGAACGCTGCATTCGATAACAAAAGAGGGCAATGCAATGCTTTTCACAACTAGAAACAATCTGCTTCAGCGTAATTAAATCGATGAAGAGCTAACAACGGTTACGAAAACCCTTTGTTATTCTCATGAATGGGATTTCTGTTACTGTTATTACATCACAGTTTTATACAGAAGCAGCTTTAGTTATTTCCCTGCACTCTCAGACATTAGCATGCGTTTCGCTCCATGAAAACACGCCCCTTCCATTTTCTTTTGGATCACATAAAACGAATACGCTTTACAGTACATGATGCTTCATCTGTCTCTTAAAATGTCAAGTGGGGAGTGGCTGAATCGCATCTCCACTTCAGGGACCGCGATTCACTTCAGATTCTGACCGGGCGCCTACTGACTACTGACCACAAATGGTTTCCCTCTTTCATTTGAAGTTGAAATTGGTGTCGTACCTGGAAGTAGCAGACGGGGGCTGTGACGGCCGCAGCCAGCAGCCAGATGAGTGCGATGCTGAGCATCACACGACGCCTAGTTTGGAGTCTTCCGTCCCTACGACAGTGGCGCACGATCGTCAGGTAGCGATCAAGGGCTATGGCGGTTATCGTACCGACAGACACCATAATGTTGGTACCTTGCAGCGCCGGAACGAGCTTGCACAGGGTTGAACCGAGAGTCCACTGCCTCCTGCAACACAATGTTCCTTGTGAGACCCAAACAAATGACAGTGACCTGCAGCTGACAGCAGAACCTGAAGATTCAACACCTTTCCAACGAAAGTGATTTTGAGCCAGTAACATCCACATCTCAATCCCAAAACGATCGCACTACAATTAGTGTTACTGCTGAGGTTATACAGTAACTAAGCTACGGGCTGGACGACCGGGATTCGTTTCCAGGCAAGGCAGACCGACTACACCAACTCTTGACAAACTCAGCCTCCTACCCAAGTAATACATGAATACCAGAATACTTTCCTTGAGGTTAAAGGGGCCGGGGCGTGACACTAAACACCCACCGCCTTCTAATGCATTCCAAGCAATGTATTCATTTAGGCTGATTAACAAAAGTTACCTAATCCCTGAGCTGAGTGTTCTATTAGCTTTTCAAACATGACTCTGCTTAATGGAGTTAGTCAATTATACTTTCAGGATTATGACCACTAAGACGTCGAGAATTTATCTTGCAGGATTTCTTTTTATGGGGATTTTTAAGGAACACGGTGTACTCCAGTCACGGTCATAGAAGCTCTACAAGTCAAAATTTAGCACGCAGAAGACATCATATTGACAGACAACTTACACCAGGTATGCAGGAAAACGAGTTTCCGAGCAAGTTACTTTATTCCAGAAACATAATCACCACCATTCAGCAATTTCTTTACAGTTTATTTCCTCCTCGTATATTGCTTCTCTTTCTAAACACATGTCACGACAGAACCATTTTATTAAAATATATCTCAAAAATAGTTATTTCAAACAGAGAAACATAGAGCCAACGCATTTAGTTTCATGCAACAAACTTGTTATACTGTCAGTAAATTGAATTACTGAGCACAAGTCCAAGTTTTCATTGTCTACAGTTCTGGCAGGCGGCATTTATACGTCTCACACACAAATATGTCTGAAACAAATGTTATAACGAACGTTAAGAAGTGAAGGTAGAAAATTTCATATACTCTGTCACAAAGGTACGTGGCTAGTAGATTGTAAGAAACTAAATCAAATTTCATGCTGTTTCAACATAACCATATAAACGTAAATATGAAGAAATTCTTCCGACATTTACTTGATCCGTCCTGTAATTTCTCAGGGACAAACGCTGGTATTGTGTAAACCTTCAGAGTTTCAGATATGGTAGCGTGGGTTACCGGGAATGTGGCGAGAGCATTTAGCACTGCAGCAACTGAGAAATTATTATCACCGGTATTTGAGGACAAACCATGACCAGATCATCCTTTATGTGAGCACGATAATTAATAGCAGTCTCTCATTAGCAAGAATCTACTTGTCTACAATACTGCTATTTCATCTCTGGAAAAGACATTACATCATGCATGTCAAAATCAGTATCTACTAAGGGCCGCTTAAAAAGGGACGACTGATCAAGGGCCATCACATGGAAGACAAAAATCATAACGTCTTACGTTCATTAGTTCCAGGCTTAAACTTAAGACGTAATTTTCATTAATATATTTTCCCACAAGCACGCACAAAAGTAAATTTCACCGGATAACGTCTTACGTTCATTAGTTCCAGGCTTAAACTTAAGACGTAATTTTCATTAATATATTTTCCCACAAGCACGCACAAAAGTAAATTTCACCGGAACATCAATTAATTGAAATATAAATGAGTAGAACACAAGTAGCTGTTAAGAAGCAATTGGACCTTAAAATATATTAAAAAAGTGATTTCGGGGTTATTTAACAGTACTCAATCAGATGTTCAGATTATAGGCATGCCTCTTGAAATGAGATGGATGATCATTCTCAGACATTAGCATGCGTTTCGCTCCATGAAAACACGCCCCTTCCATTTTCTTTTGGATCACATAAAACGAATACGCTTTACAGTACATGATGCTTCATCTGTCTCTTAAAATGTCAAGTGGGGAGTGGCTGAATCGCATCTCCACTTCAGGGACCGCGATTCACTTCAGATTCTGACCGGGCGCCTACTGACTACTGACCACAAATGGTTTCCCTCTTTCATTTGAAGTTGAAATTGGTGTCGTACCTGGAAGTAGCAGACGGGGGCTGTGACGGCCGCAGCCAGCAGCCAGATGAGTGCGATGCTGAGCATCACACGACGCCTAGTTTGGAGTCTTCCGTCCCTACGACAGTGGCGCACGATCGTCAGGTAGCGATCAAGGGCTATGGCGGTTATCGTACCGACAGACACCATAATGTTGGTACCTTGCAGCGCCGGAACGAGCTTGCACAGGGTTGAACCGAGAGTCCACTGCCTCCTGCAACACAATGTTCCTTGTGAGACCCAAACAAATGACAGTGACCTGCAGCTGACAGCAGAACCTGAAGATTCAACACCTTTCCAACGAAAGTGATTTTGAGCCAGTAACATCCACATCTCAATCCCAAAACGTATCGCACTACAATTAGTGTTACTGCTGAGGTTATACAGTAACTAAGCTACGGGCTGGACGACCGGGATTCGTTTCCAGGCAAGGCAGACCGACTACACCAACTCTTGACAAACTCAGCCTCCTACCCAAGTAATACATGAATACCAGAATACTTTCCTTGAGGTTAAAGGGGCCGGGGCGTGACACTAAACACCCACCGCCTTCTAATGCATTCCAAGCAATGTATTCATTTAGGCTGATTAACAAAAGTTACCTAATCCCTGAGCTGAGTGTTCTATTAGCTTTTCAAACATGACTCTGCTTAATGGAGTTAGTCAATTATACTTTCAGGATTATGACCACTAAGACGTCGAGAATTTATCTTGCAGGATTTCTTTTTATGGGGATTTTTAAGGAACACGGTGTACTCCAGTCACGGTCATAGAAGCTCTACAAGTCAAAATTTAGCACGCAGAAGACATCATATTGACAGACAACTTACACCAGGTATGCAGGAAAACGAGTTTCCGAGCAAGTTACTTTATTCCAGAAACATAATCACCACCATTCAGCAATTTCTTTACAGTTTATTTCCTCCTCGTATATTGCTTCTCTTTCTAAACACATGTCACGACAGAACCATTTTATTAAAATATATCTCAAAAATAGTTATTTCAAACAGAGAAACATAGAGCCAACGCATTTAGTTTCATGCAACAAACTTGTTATACTGTCAGTAAATTGAATTACTGAGCACAAGTCCAAGTTTTCATTGTCTACAGTTCTGGCAGGCGGCATTTATACGTCTCACACACAAATATGTCTGAAACAAATGTTATAACGAACGTTAAGAAGTGAAGGTAGAAAATTTCATATACTCTGTCACAAAGGTACGTGGCTAGTAGATTGTAAGAAACTAAATCAAATTTCATGCTGTTTCAACATAACCATATAAACGTAAATATGAAGAAATTCTTCCGACATTTACTTGATCCGTCCTGTAATTTCTCAGGGACAAACGCTGGTATTGTGTAAACCTTCAGAGTTTCAGATATGGTAGCGTGGGTTACCGGGAATGTGGCGAGAGCATTTAGCACTGCAGCAACTGAGAAATTATTATCACCGGTATTTGAGGACAAACCATGACCAGATCATCCTTTATGTGAGCACGATAATTAATAGCAGTCTCTCATTAGCAAGAATCTACTTGTCTACAATACTGCTATTTCATCTCTGGAAAAGACATTACATCATGCATGTCAAAATCAGTATCTACTAAGGGCCGCTTAAAAAGGGACGACTGATCAAGGGCCATCACATGGAAGACAAAAATCATAACGTCTTACGTTCATTAGTTCCAGGCTTAAACTTAAGACGTAATTTTCATTAATATATTTTCCCACAAGCACGTACAAAAGTAAATTTCACCGGAACACACATCTACATCAATTAATTGAAATATAAATGAGTAGAACACAAGTAGCTGTTAGCAAGCAACTGGACCTTAAAATACATTAAAAAAGTGATTTCGGGGTTATTTAACAGTACTCAATCAGATGTTCAGATTATAGGCATGCCTCTTGAAATGAGATGGATGATCATGCAAGATCAGCTGCAAATGATTGGAAAAACGTTACATATTTCAAGAAAGAAATCCGGAATATGTCTGGAAGAACTGAGATATAAATTACAAAAATCTTACTCGGGATAAACGATACACTAGCCGAAATTATAACTTTCACACTCTCGAATATAGGCGTCGTTTTATAGGCGACGCGGTTTGGAAAAATAAATTATGTACGAATTAAAATATACAGCATTAATTACAGTATTGACTGTCACAAAAACATGTAGGCTACGTACGAGAAGGTTTAACCCTGAAGATAACAAGGGGGTAAGTATAAATAGAGACAAGTACTGTGAATTATAACATACGGATAGAGGGACGGATGTAAAGCAGTTATGCGTTTTATTCCTCTAAAAGAGATATCACATCGAACCAAACGTGGCCAGTGCTTCTTCCATAATAGGAAATGGAAGCTTCTTCACATGAATCTAAAGAAGTGTATTGCATGGGCACAGTGTCACAGGACATGAAATATTACCTTGGAAACAGGAGAATCAATCTTTCCACCTTCAACCGGATGGGTTAAATAAAGATTATAAAATGTACATCACAACTGGACAAGCTATTCATCACTAACAGCGGGAAGAAAGCGAAAGGTTTATAATAGATATTTCCTGGAAACGAAACTAAATTTGTGAACATTTTTTTAAATAGTTATTTCACTTTCAGCTGATAGTTGTCGCTGCATGAAAATATAGCTGCTCGTCCATCTTTCTTCATACACTGTCAGATTCACGTGTGATTCTTTACGTGTGAGGAAAATGCGTCAAAGAATATTCATTTCATACTCGACCAAGCGTTTTCTGACAATACCAAATAAAGCGTTGGAAATTTGTTCCATACAAACATGACTGATTCCCCAGACGGACTTATTTCTTTCAGTCTTAGCAAAAACTTCAAATTTTCGATTAGTTGTTTTTAGTGAGTTATTTGTCTCGATGTTCTGTCGGTTGTAAAGATGTCAGTTGTGGTGTACTTGTTATCAGCTTCAAAAATTTACGACGCAACAGCCCAGAAGACCATAGTCGACAGTGAATGACTACGTAGTTAGTAGGTCAATTATTCTGTTAGTACGTAGTAAAATCAGCTTTACCTCCACGATACGCGTATTCTGATGGGATCTCTAGACTCTCAGAATACTTCCCCAAGCACAAAGTAGTCAGTCACAAATAGAGTTAATCTTGGATGACCCTGTCGATATATGACTAATGGAAAATGTGCGTTACAGCATACACGCCGAATTAATGATGATCCAGGTGTCACTAAATCTGAACGACATGAAAATAATTTACATAACCGAAAAATGTCAAAAATATCAATCATTAACGAGCACAGTTACAGACAGGTTTAATCTATAGTTTCATTAATTTATCTGGGAAGTTACAGATACGCTGTATGCTTGTCAACAACCGAAAATAAAAATTGTAATCACAGATTGACAGAACGTGATAGATAGAAATAAACAAAAAGTGATATACACAAAATTTATTAGTTTCCCCGATGTTTTATTCTTTATTTCACTGAATATTTTTAAACTGGAGAACGCCACAATTCTTAGCTTGCTTAAACAAGAAAGATTACTGTTTTCATATTACCATACATATTTGTAAGAAGTCTCGAGTGGTGACACGATGGATTTCTATTTTGAAGGTGTTCGGCCGAAAGACACAAAACATCCTGAACTATGATGGATGTTTTGAAACATCCGACGAAGACTGGTACGTTGATACTTCCTTAATATTATAATGGATTTCGATGACGGGCGATATTGTGCAGTCATAGCATTTTATGCTTTTGGGAAACTTTGATAACAGTTCTAGTTGTGGTAAGATTTGGGGTAAATATACACTGATTTTATATTTTTTTATATTTGTGATAATCTAGAACAAATTTTGTTTACCAAAATTCCATTATCGTCAGGTCTAGCGAAGGCGAGTGCCGGGAAACTGGCAACCTTTTACCAATATATTGACTACGGAACTGAGAATATTGGTATGCTCCATTTTTATACCTCCGTAAATCAAAGGCGGCGACCTTCAAGTTAAAAGCATGAGAATATCAGTATACTCTAATATTACTATGCAAAAGTGTCATTATTTCTGCCACACCAATAGTAACAATCTTAGTGAAACTCTATAGTTGTTTAAAGATCTTCTTTTGTTTAGATTGCTACAATATAGTATTTATGGCATGTAATGCGTTAAATATATGCTCGCCTTTATAACTGTAAAACTGCTTTTTTCTTCAACGTGTGTAGTTCAGCCAGAATGAGGCAAAGTGGAGACTTGAGTAAACCTCAAGCCCACTACATCACTGTCACGACGTAAGAACGCAAATGTTATTTTCGCGTCACATAGCTTCTGTTCGAAGTCTAGTCCTTTCCACACGAAAATATATTAGTTTTAACAACATATTCCTAAAAATAAGAACGTCTTCATCACAAGCTGAAATTTTTTATCGGATAGAACATGCTTTTATGACAAATTTAGTATACAAAATAAGAGCCTAATTTTGTATTAAACACGTTCGAAATGCCTGTAATATCTTGCAGTCATATTCAGGGAGAAAGTTTCGTGAATAAATCGAATTACTCATGCTTCTATATTTGTTTTAAGAGACGTTTGTATTTTTGAATGACGAGACCGTTTTGTAACAGGTTAGTTGGCCGACGATTCAGAAAAATAGATGTTTCCATTTCCAGGATAAATTCCGTCTTCTAATGGAAAACAAGGTTTTTTTTATAGTTTTTGTACGTGGGCGTTGGTGTATGCTTTAAACTGGACCTCACATGTTTCCCAGGCCTGTAATATTTCATAACACGGCCTTCCTAGTGGTACGAGATAGAGTCAAGTATCTGCTCTTTCGAACACGGTAATTAACCTTCGTGTCCATAAAAGGTGAAAAATTTATTGAACGGTCGAGCATCTATCGACTTCTCAAGGAGAACTTTGGTCCATGAAATTGGTTGGAATTTTTAATTAAAATAACTTGTGGTATTAAATTTTGAGCCTGTTGTGAGGGACGAAGATGGAGAGGCGATCGATGTAATATTAAATGTGAAAGGAGCTAAAGAACCTGCTAGGGTGCTATAAAATATAATCCTATGATCTAATTGTGATATAAAACTTCGCATCGATTGAATCTCACTTATTTTTAAAAAAAAAAGCAAATTAAATAAAAATCTGGTGAACAGTGAACTAAACACTCCTTATTTTCGTTAGTCTCTTCAACTTGCAGTCCGTAATACCATTTATGGGTTTATTTTTAATTTACTTGATTTAGTATAAAACAGAGCTATGAAATATTCGTACAAACAGAAGCTGAATAATTTAATTTTAGAGGACTGATAGTAAATTTATATTTTATACTATCTTAACTCTAATGGATGTGAATAAAAGCATATTATCACTGCGTGATGTGAAGTGAAATTGCATTATGAGTTGTGAGATGGCGACCGGGAGCTACTGCAAGATCCTGTCTCACTAAACTACTAAATTCCTGAGTTAGGATACTCTGTATGTAACCAGGCATAAATTCGAACACGTATCTTACAAAATAAGTCTAAAGATCTGCCACTACCCTGCGAAGTAATGAGTATAATGAAGTCGTAATGCGAAGGTCGTAAGTGTTTATTTACATGTCTGAGCTACAAAGTAGCTTTAAACGTGCTGTTAATTTTAATTTTATCTCATATATATAGCATACAATATAATTTATTAAAATTTAAGACGCCAAATGAATTCAGTAATTTGCATCGAAACCACAAATACTAAACATTTTCTCTGCTCTTTACGCAGTACAGTAGGCTTAAACATTAGGTTCCATCTCACTATTGATTCTGAATACTGCTTCGTCATATATATATATATATATAGATACTCTTATGTATCTGCTAAATAGCAGGTTACAATACAAACTCATAACCCATTGAATCCAGCGCTCATCTGAATGCTGTCTAAAAATTCGGTCCATAATGCAAACAAAACACAACACGTCTCCATTACAAAGACCAGTTAGCAAATCCTGTTAAGGCAAATAATGGCTGTTTGCTCTGAGAATCATAGGAAACCCTTCAATATATTCTGTGGGCAAATTGTACTATTGTTTGTTATTAAGCATGTGGTTCTTATTGCTACCATTGAGCCTTTTTTTTTTATTATTAATAGTTAAAATTCCGTAAAATGTATATCGATTACTTTCTCTGCTCAGTAGTAGGTTTCGAATCCTGCTCCTACATCCAGTAAAAGCCAGTTACTGAGCTACCCTCCTAAAATATGTTACTAAATAGTATTAGAAATAATGTTAACGACATAGTTAATTTTCAAACAAAATCTGTTTAATTACTCTCGCAGACCTATGCGTCCATTTTTATCTTCGTCCCTTGCCACGCGTGAAAGAATTAGTTAGAGTGGTCCTAGTGTATCTTGGATGTTAAAAGACAGCAGATCTGCACTTCATAACCAGAGACTAACAGAGACGTAGTTAGAGGGGTCCATAATGGAAACATCTAAACCTATGTTGGAAGTTAGTTTTAGTTTGCATATTGCATTTTTACACGTGGATTGCTTCAAGGAATCACAGTTTCAACATGGTGCATGCAGTTCAAAACTCTTCACTTTGAAACACGTGCAGATATAGTCCAGTGTAATGACGAATAAACAGTCAACAGAATAAACATATGCATGCACAGAGCAAGCAGATGTGTGCTTGTTTTGTTTGCTGACAGGATGATGGTGAGTCTGAGTCTGAGCCTAACAGATGTACAGTTAAATGTCACAAACACTGCAACCAGATTTTCAAACTAAAAACAGCAAATCGACTGAAAGGTCAGACAAGCACTTCCGCTGATCCAGTATTTAGAAACCTTATTTGCGACTTGGTTCATTTAACGATACTTTTGTTAACGGCGTGGCAGGAAGATTGTGTTTAATGACTTTGGAAGTATGTGGAAGGAAGCGGGCGTGTCATTTGCAAGATCTTATTCTAAAGTTTTCCTAAAGGCGTTGAGGAAAACAATAAAAAGTCTCAGTCATGCCTAAGGTCCGAGATTTAAACCCGAGACCAACTAAACAGGAAAGAGTAATAACCATTTTACCGTAACGTTATGTCAATTTCAACCTGAATGTAGAGGCAGTATCCTGGGAATCTCTGGAATCTACTTAAAGGCACACACGGCGTTACAACTCAGGAAGTGAACATCAACAGGTGGTATTTAATGAGATTCTCTTATTGGAATAAGAATCACTCCACTTAAGTGTATTGGGGCATGAAGTAAATTCCACGTATTGCAGGTAAATAGTTATCCCCACGGTCCGACTGAATCCACCATTGTACGTTAAGAGGGTGTGCAGCACTAGCACAGTACTTAAAGGGGCTTCGAACATAAATCATCTTATACTTGCAGGGAATAAACCCCCGTATACTTACAATATTAAACGTTGCAGTCACTTAACACAAATTTAGCACGAGGCTTCTGCAGAACGCAGTCTGTGAATTACTGCTTCATGAATTGTTTAATAAATCAGTATAAAGAATGAAAGCAAAACAAAAAAATGTTATAAAAGTACTGAAAAAATTTAACAACTTAGTGAATGTGTCTTGCATAAGTAGTTTCATAGTGCAGCGAACTAAGCTCCTGTTGTCCTACAAGACATCGTATCAGAGATGTTCGTATAACATCCAACATATTTGCAATAATACGTAATTGTGGGTATTACCCAAAAGTAACTTCGTGAGTTATTCAGGTCACATATTGTCAAGATAGTGGATTCCAAGTGTAGATGTGCTGGGCATGTAACTAGAAATAAAAGGAATTGCTGAATTTATGTCGGAGATATCTCTCAGGAAATATCCATTTGCAATCCTGATAATAATATGGAAGAATAACATTAAGATGCATCTTTCAAAAACAGTTTGTGAGTGTAAAGTCAAATGGAAATGACTGGAGATCATATCCAATGATAGGCTTTGATATTAGCTGTGCTGAACCTACGGGTTCTGCTGCAGAGATTTTAATGATCAACAAATTTTAAGCAAGCAGTTGACTACATACCTGAGTATGGCGACTAGTGTAGACGGCATGCAGATGACACACAATGTTATGTCCGATACGGTCAGATTCACAATATACAAGTTCCGTGCTGTATGCATTTGCGCCCTTCTTGCAACCACAAAACTCACAAGCAAATTCGTCACGAGACCTGCCACCATCAATAAGGCGTACACGATTATTAGCGCCACTTCAGCTTGGCCACCCAAATCGCGATCTTCTCGTTGCCTCTCGCTCAACAATATCCGCAACGCTTCGTCCAGACTGAAGTTAAACAGGGGAAATTGTTGCAGTGATGAATTAAAATGTGGATTCGATTCCGGTGTGAGTGACTGAAGTCGGTCATCCATCAGGAGCAATCTCTGAATTTCAGCTAGAGTAGATGCTTCATTCAGATCCTCGCACGAGGAAGTCAGAGTAGCGTGGCTCATTGCAGTTCGTGATCACTTGCCATGTTCGGAATTGTGCACAGTTTTTTTTTATAATTTTGTCTTCTTATTGGAGCTTAAACTGTATGTTACGAAAGGGACTTACGCAAAATGTTTCGTGGATATGTTACAAGTTACTACATTTTGTTTAAAATAGTTTACACAGAGCTTTGATTAGTGAATAATAGTATATAAATTTAAAAAAAAAAATTCAAATCGACTTGAAAGTTTTTTCGAATAAAAATTGTATGCGTTAATATTTTTTTTACCTTAAGTCAAGAATCCAATTCAAAAATAAAAATAACCCAAGAATTTCTTGTTAAATTCCAACAATATCCCTCTGTATAAGAAGCACACTATATGAGTCATTTAATTTTCAGATAAGAAAATTCAGGAATAAACATACTTTTAAACATTACGTGATACCCTGAAAATAAATTTCAAATACAAGCAATACCGCAAACATTATAATAATTAGTGTTGGTAGAACTACACTAACAGATATTTATACATATTTTGTATCAGTTTAACCGTAAGAATTAAATATAAATTTGTACCATAAAAGAGTAGTTCATTCTAATAATATTATTACTCAGTTTTTAGTACAAATAGCTCTCAATGTGGCTGATAAACGAATAAAAAACCACTGACATTACTTCTTGAAGTGAGATTGCAGACACTTGTTAGTTTCCCAACAGGTTGGGATATGATGGCACCGATTTTCTTCTCGCAACTAGTCTATAAAAAGTGATATACTGCCAGTTTTATATCGCTTCAGTTTTATGGTTCGCTGGTGTCAATTAAAAGCACTCAAATGGCTGCTGTAATATTCCCCAAAACCTCAGTAATGCATAAGCTTATTTCACTCAGATAAGATTTAATTATATGTACGTTATACTAAAAAAAATTACGCTTGCACAGTGGATTACATTTTTTGACAGTTTATCAGCTAGACGAATCTAAATGAAACAATTTTTAAGAGCTGAGATATAACCATAGACAGAAGTGATTACAATTATGTGGTGTCTTCGCTCAACTTATGGAGCACAACACTGGTCTTAAACTTAATTTCTTTTGATCGTTCGTATAAGAACAAGTCAACATTCATAATAAATTTATAAAGCAGCATTAGTCAGTTGCACCATTTTTAAAAATTTACACTAAAGTACGCAGAATATTATATTAGTTTTATTGGACGCATAAGGAGATATCTTCATTTCATTGCGAGTTTTCTAAAGTCGTAACGGCCTTCCATTCTTTTATCTATTTTTCAGTACAAACAACAACAAAAATTTATAAAAATCAGAATAAAATCAGAATATTAAACAAGTGACTGTGAACAGATAAATTTCCAGTAATTTCCTCTCTCATGACTTTTTTTGAGGGAGTAAGGAGTCATTACTGGAATCGATAATTTAAACAAATTTTCTTAAACTGTATGATTCATTAAAGTAACATTATGTAGTAGTAGTAATAGTAGTGGTAGTAAAAACATTAACAAGATAAGAAATTTAAGTTACTTGTAAACACAGTTTCTTGAATTATGTCTTAATACATCATTAACTACTAAGGACTAGTGGTATAGATTGCAAATAAAAAACATGACGAGGCCTACACAAGTGAAAACCAACTGTGAAGTATATAATGAAGGAATAATTGAATATTAATTAGCAGTCTGCAGACATAACACCCACGTGCAAAATGAGTAGTGAAGTACTACAAATATAACTCTCTCGCTCCAAGAAGCAAATTCCTTCTTGATTAGCTGATAAATGCTAAGATGTTCTAGGAATTCATCACCTTTCACGGAACACAAAAGTTTATTACCGTGTTCAGGAGAGCTCTCATCCACCCTGAGTCAGACGTATCCAGGTAACATCCTAATACTCAATTTCTTAAGACCTACTTTAATATTTCCTCCGATCTAGATCTCTCAGATGGTCTCTTGCCTGTAGATTCCCTACTAAATTTCTGAATGCATTAACCAGCTACTTTTTGTATACATTTACTGACTAAACCATGGCATTTAATTATCACCTCTCCATGTGTGATGAAGTGTGAAGCTTTTAGTGCGTAATTTTCTCCACACTTCTGTTACTTTCTCTTCTTATTTTCAAATACTGTCCACAGCACTTTGTCTTTAAACACTCATAATCTATAGATTTCATTAAATTGAGATACAAAATCGAAACACAGTACAGACATTTTTTTTTAAAAAAATGGTACGCAGAAACCTTATAACGAAAACCAAAGGTATCAGTGATTAAATGTGGTATACTATTTCTAATAATATGCTGCTGGTGCACCTTTTCAATTCGCGAAAAACTTGAAATTCACTAGTAAATTCGCGATGCGATGTGATGGCGAGGTTCACGAGACGCGAGGCGCAGAGGGGTCGCGTAAACTGAGGGCGATCTCGAGACGACGGATGCACTGGGTACAGTGCTCTTGGCCCCAACCAAACGAGCGCCATGCAGTCTCAGTATCTGCGCATGAACTCCGCATCTCGTTTCGTTCACACAAAAAGTGATCGGCGGATAAGACGGGAACATTCAAAGGGACAGATATAAAAGTGAGGATTAGGCCAAGAGTCTAATCATCAAAGTCAACTTTTCATAGTTCTAGTTACACGTGTTCCACGGCTTTTGTTCGATTTCTCCACCTGGAGAGTCGAAGAAGGTTTTGAAATTTAAAGTCATTATGAAGCCTCCTCTACAATGGGTACCGGGGTCCTTTCCCGGGGGTAAAGCCGGCCGGGGCGTGATGCTGACCACTCACCCCCATCTAGTGCCGAGGTCAAGGAAGAGAGAAGCTATACCTCCGCTCACCCCAAACGCCTACATGGCGTATAGTGGGACAAACTTTACTTATGAAGAGGATTATAGAAACATGTTGCTAAGCCACTGGTGTATGTTCCTTCAAACTCGTAAAATATCACAAATAAAACCAGAAACTTTGCTGAGAAATGCATGGTAGCGCAGGTAGACAATAAATTCGCCATCCTTCAAGGAGCCTGAACCCGCCATCGGCCCATATCCTGGATCCTCACAATCAAATTTTTAACGTCCGTTTCAATATTATTATTCCAAGAAATTTATTCCCTTCAGTTTTTCAGATCGCAGATACGTAAGCATTTGTCTTTTCTTCCGTGCGTGTTTTATTACATTCCCCGTGAGCTGATCATCCTAATAATATTCAACGCATGTTACAAATTATGACGCGCCTAGTTGTGCAAATATCTATATCCTTCTGATACATCCTCCCTCTTAAGTCTAAATATATTAACCTCGGCACCCTGTTCTCGAACACCCCCAATCTGTGTTCTTCCTTTAATTAGACATCAAGTTTCCTATCCATATATAAAAAATGTAAAATTATATTTTTGTGCGTTTCAACCATTTCAAAGTTTTTAGTTAACAGACGGGAAGACACATCTCCAACAACACTTTTTGAAAGGGCATGTGTAAACTGTGAGTAGGATTATTCTGTGGGATCTTTCCTGCAATAAGTTCCTAAACTCTGTGCAAAGTTTCTAACTCATTTCCGTGTCACTTGTTTTGAAATTTTACATTGATTCTGACTTCGAGTTACTATAATCCTACTAAACAGAGCTCGTAAACTTATACAAAACATAAATGAGGCCAAGCTTACGTGACTGGAAAACATTTAATCTAATATACCCTTAAAGTTTAATTGACTTAAAAGCGATCACTAGCAAGGAAAGGCTCTGTGTCTAATGGAATAGGAAAGGATGTGAAGGAAGTGACTGTTCGTTTAGTTTAACTTCTGTAAACCAACATTTTATAAATTAGAAAACTTCCAACAAATGTATGATCGTAAAGTGAATTATAAGTTTTTTTGTCTCCATCTCTGGCTTGCTGTAAGAAACTTCATGTAACAATACGGACTGACGTTGTTTATTTGTTTTAGTCTTCTTTTCTAGGTTTCGAATAACAGACTTCAAGTATCATGCCAGTGTCCATACTTCATAACGTTTGAACCAGTTAGCTAATTTTCGTGAAACTTTATTGTGCCACTAGAGGAAAAACCCTCCTTTGAAAAGCCTACTTTTATGTTATCAATAATATCATGGCGAACGCACAGACGTCAGATGTGGGAGAAACACTTTCGCAATTTGATATAGAGTTCTAGAATTTTGTGTGATAACGCATTTTCTTAATATTTGCAACTTCTGTTTAGGTCTTACGTTTGCAGAATACAAAACGTCGACATGCCGGCCGTGGGAAGTCTACATTTAATTTCCATTTCATTGTCGATATGGAATCAAATAATTAGATATTATATATGGAAATACGTATCTACATATTAAGATGATATATTTTTTATAACTAAAAATTATAAACATGCAGAGAACGTAAAACTTTAATGTTAGACCTAGATCTGGTACATTAACCGTACTTGATATCTGTTGTAATGGAAGTTATGCAAACAAATCGATCACTAAATTGCATAAGTAAGTAATAATAGATTTTCAGTTATTCTCACCAAAGAAGAGAAGCATCTAAAAAAAGGTAAAATTTGTAAATTCTCAGATCTTCTAGTTAATACATTACATAACGTGATATGAAAGGAAATTTTGATAGAACATATCTGTATGCATATGCTGGCACTAACAAATAAATAAGTAATGCCCTAGAAACAGGGTTAAGATAATATAGTTTTAACATTAGATGTGTATGGTACATGATAGTCCTGACTGTACCATAAGAGTAAGATACGAGGAAGTTACATACAAGAATTATCCACGTGATGTAACTTCAATATAAATAACAGCCTTGTAAGACATTTAAGTGTCTCGGAAGAAAATAACTTGGTGTGATTTTGATATAGTAGTAACTGGGTTGCAAAAATAATTATAACACTTATTAAATACTGATACCATGTTAAACAGCAGACTGGTAATATAAAGCAACAGTATGTAAAAATATGAGTTACCTTTCTTTAAACGAATTCTTGTTAAGATTAGTTAGTGGAAGCAATAACCATAGTATACAAATATTGATAATAAAGTTTAGCAACAAGAATGTACAGCATACAGAAGATCAAACAGGCACTTCATATCTCTTAAAATTTTCTATTAAAGTTTAAGTAATAAATACGCCAATTTGCTTCACGTCTCTCTTTTGAGTTCCTCTGCCAGTACGTCATTTCTGT